GCTGGCCGAACCAGAAGGTCGTGCAGAGCACAACGGGCGTGACGATCCACGCCACCGCGATGCCCGGCAGCCCCAGCGCCAAGAGTTTGCCGAGCAAGACCTCGGCGCCGAGCAGCACGAGGCCGACCTTCATGTACAGCTCGGTCCGCACCGCGGGGCGCACCCAATCGGGCAGGCCGATCGTGTTGGAGATTAGCAGCCCCAGCACGATCGCCCACAGCGGGTAGGCGAGGCCCCAGTAGTTGAAGGTCTTCTGCTCTTCGCCGAGATACGCGACCAGCGCGAGCAGGAAGACAGCGCCGAACGCCGGAAGGAAGCGTCGCAGCGGCGTCCCATCCGCCAGCCGTGACGCCGCGCCGAACGTGATCGCCAACACAGCCGCGGCGCCCGCGATGCCGAACGTTCTGACGCCAAACGCAGGGAGAGGCGAGATTTCCCAAGCGCCGGGTGTCGTGAGCCAGGGCTTCAAGACGCCGGCGTCGCCTCCCGCGGCAAGGACAGCGCCAAACGAGATGAGCAGTAGTAGCCCGCCGAACACGACGGCGAGCCAGTCTTCAGTGAGTTTGGGCATCAACGGGTCGATCTCGTGCGACAAGCTGCGTGGGGCGTCACGAATCCCGCCCCGTTACGGCAGGTCTTATCGCCGAACGCCGCTCGCTACAAGCGCCGCCAGACCCAACGCCAGGCACGCCGTTGACGGCTCCGGAACCGCGTTGCTCGCGGCCGTCGCGCCGTAGTTGTCGGCCCACTCGGCGTACTCGGTGGGCGTACCACCCTGGTCGCGCCAAACGGTGTAGTCGGCGGCGTCGACGACCAAGTCGCCGTTGAAGTCGCCGGCGAGGCCTTCGTCAGGAATCGTCACGAGCAACTCATAGCTAGCGGATTCGTCGTGGGCGCCGACGAAGTCGTAGTCAGGATAGCCCGATACGCCGAACGTCAACCTTCCATCCTCCGGCACAACGCCCTCGATCAGAGAGAGCCTACCGTCGTACGAGGTGTCCAAGTCATGGTCGTCGTCGAAGGCGATCTGACTACCGAACTCGTTGAACCAAGCGAGCACGGTGTCGATGCCGGCGCCGGTCGGGTCGAGCGTCTCAACGGTAAACGCCTCGCCTGGAGTCAGGCCGGTGTAGGTAAAGAAGTCGACGTCACCGACTTGGAGCGCGTTGTTGATCTCAACATTGTAAGAGCCGTTCAGCCACTCGAAATCGTTGAAGCTATGATCATCGACGGCGCCGGGTAAGAGCATGCCCGAGATCGTGAAGTTATCGACTTCATCGCCGAAGAAATCGAACACCGTGACGTAGGCCTCGTAGTTGCCCGACTCGCTGTGCCCGCCGAAGAAGAACTCGTCGGGGTAGCCGGTCACCGCAAAGTCGATCGACCCGCTGTTGGTGGGGACGCCATAAAGAGCCGATGCATGACCGTCGCCGTAGGGGCTGGCGTCGTCGTCGTAGAATTCGATATCGCCAAAGAACCCGCGCGAGCCAACGATCGTGTCGGGGTTGGCGCCACCGGAGGAACCGAACTCGTCTTCGACGAGCAGCACACCCGGCGGCAGGATCGTCGCGGTAAAGAAATCTTCGTTGGGCTCTTCAGCAGTCGCCGTCGTGAGCGCCGCTGATGCGAGGACAGCGATCGCTGCCAGACCCACGAATGCACGTCCGATCGCCATTGCCTGTGTCTCCCGAAGAGTGGTGCTTCCGCCGATGCTCCCGAGGGAGCGATATGACGCCGGGCGGATTGTAACCCCACCAACTGGCAGCCGGATATGAATATCGCGGGCTTTTTGTCGCGCGTTAATTCCCTTGTCCGTTGGCGCCCCGTTTGCTCCATAGAGGAAACAACCCTAACAGGAGCAAGACATGCCCAAACCTCCCCGCGAACGATTCCAGGACATCCTCGAGACCTTTACTGTCGGGATGCTCGTTACCGAAGGGCCCGACAAAGTCCTCACGGCGCGACCGATGAATGTGGCGGCGATTGATTCCGACGCCGACATTTGGTTCTGCACCCGGGTCGATACTCCTAAGACGGACGACATTCAGAGCCACCCCGATGTGCTGGTCGCCTTCCAAGACTCGGGACGCTATTTGACTCTAAATGGTCCCGCAGAGATCAACCGTAGCCGTTCGAAGATCAATGAGCTCTGGAATGAATCATGGAAAGTCTGGTTTCCCGACGGCCCGGATGATCCCAAGCTAGCGCTTCTGCACGTCAAAGCGACACACGGGCAGTACTGGGACAACAGCTGGCTCCAAGGCCTGAGCTACGCCATCCGCGCGGGCCAAGCCTATTGGCGGGGCGAAGAACCTGAGATCCCAGAGGACGTCAACGCGAAGGTTGAGCTGCCGTAAGCTGTGGAGTTCATCCTAGGGACGGGTCTAACCATTCATCGTAGGAGGTGGGCCATGTCCCCACTCGGTCTGATTCTGCTGATCGTTCTTGTCATGCTCGTGCTCGGCGCGGCGCCGGCGTGGCCACACGCCCGGAACTGGGGCTACGGTCCCAGCGGGGGCTTGGGCCTCGTGCTGGTGATCGTGCTGATCCTGGTCTTGATGGGCCGGATCTAAGGTCGTGGGCGCCTTGTGAAATACTACGGAGCCACAGAGGGCACGGAGAAACGCACAGTGGGGGCTATCTCTATGTGTCCTCGGAGTCCTCGGTGGCTCAGTGGTTAACGAGCGCATAAGCAACCGATAGCGATATCGCGCTGACCCCATGCCGCCCGGAGCATCGCTTCCGGGCGGCTTTTCTTCTGCGCAGAAGCGTTAGGCCGCAGCAAAACCGAGCGATCACGCCCGACTAGAATCAACGCCAGCGCACGGCGGCCCTGTGCGCTGGCTAATTCGCTGAATGACGACAAGTCCGATCGGGTGAGGAATAACGTGCTTCAGACCTTCGTGCGAGTCTCGGCGATGGCTTGCCTGCTGGTGGTCGCTGCCGATGCGAACGGCGCGATCGCCAACCAGACTGCGATCAAGGTCCTTGTCGATAACGGCGAGTACGCCAAGGCCGAGGCGCTGCTGCAAGCGCAGGTCGAGGACCCGACGGTGCCAATCACC